AACAACTTGCCGCTGTCCCCACTCAGGGTCGCCACACCGCGCCCTTTCCCACAGCCACCGGTGCGATGTCCTTGCACCTCCAGGTCGAAGTCCTCGTCGCCATCGTGCGGGACTGGAAGGTCCTCCGGCCTCCTATGTCGAAGGAGAGCCTCCCCCTTGGCCGTGTCCGACCACCAGGGGTTCAAAGGGGGGAGAGAGTGTGCTCTCTCAACCATGGCGTTCGAAGGTTGGGCTCATAACCCTCGTGAACTAAAGGCATGCGCGCCTTTTCTCGAACACAAAATGCCTGAAGTCGTGACATGTCCGATGTTCTCTCACCGAACAGAACCGTAAATGAATGCTGTGTGGTATAATAAAACATATGATGATGAATGTTGTGTGACATAGTAAAATGTTCTACAAAAACTCCGGAACATGAACCAGGTACAAAACGGCAGCGGTATGGCCAGTATGGCAAGTCCACGCAACTGACCGACCGCAAATCCCAAATCGTAATTACGCCATGGAAAATGCCACTGCTATTGCTATTACATTTAACACTACGGACCACAGTACCTATCTACCTACTGACCCACATGTCCATATTCTACACATACCTACCACCCGACCGACCAAGTCACCCGCTCCCAGTCCTGCCCTTCTTCTGAATCTATCTCTGAAATGCATTTCGTGCGAAACCTCCTCCAAATATGTACGGTGCAGCCATACAAAACGATTTAATTGACACATGACTCAGCTCCGCAGACACTCCGCGTACTAAAGTTGCACTACAAAGTCGCCAGTTCTCATCTTCCAGCTTTCCAGATACTCCGCGCACTAAAGTTGTACCACCATGTCACCAGTTCTCAGCTTCCAGCTCCACAGATTGCTCCGCGTACTAAGGTAGTACTACAAAGTCGCCAGTTCTCATCTTCCAGCTCCCCAGATACAGTACTGAAAGTTGTACTACAAAGTCACCAGTTCTCATCTTCCAGCTCCCCAGATACTCCGCGCACAAGAGTTGTCCTACAAAGTCGCCAGTTCTCAGCTTCCAGCTCCACACATGCTGTGCCTGCCACGAAATCTGCACATGGAGGTTCACAAAAACCACTAATGGAGGGACGATTCCGACCATGACCCGAGACCATCTCGCACACGTCGTTCCAGAGAGCTTGACTTGCCAGGTTCGGAGCCACCCTTTGTATTGAAAAACGCAGCATTTTGTGCGTCCGCTATCTCTCGAAAATGCGCCTGCCACGAAATCTGCACGTGGAGGTTCACAAAGTGCTGTGCCTGCCACGAAATCTGCGCCTCGAGGTTCACAAAGTGCTGCAGTGCCTGCACATGGAGGTTCACAAAGTGCTGTGCCTGCCACGAAATCTGCACTTCAAGAAACAAGCGAAAACTCTAACCGCAATGGAGGGACGATTCCGACCATGACCCGAGACCGTCTCGCGCACGTCGTTCCGCAAACCTTGGCTTGCCAGGTTCGGAGCCATGCACCTTTGGTATTGAAAAACAGCATCTCGTGCGTCCGCTATCTCTCGAAAATGCGCCTGCCACGAAATCTGCACATGGAGGTTCACAAAGTGCTGTGCCTGCCACGAAGTCTGCACATGGAGGTTCACAAAGCGCTGCGCCTGCCACGAAATCTGCGCATGGAGGTTCACAAAGTGCTGTGCCTGCCACGAAATCTGCACTTCAAGACACAATTGAAAACTCTAACCACAATGGAGGGACGATTCCGACCATGACCCGAGACTGTCTCGCACACGTCGTTCTGCAAAGCTTGACTTGCCAGGTTCGGAGTCACCTTTCGTATTGAAAAACACAGCATTTTGTGCGTCCGCTATCTCTCGAAAACGCATTTTGTATTGCGCCTGCTCTTGAAACTAGAGCTAACTGGAGCTAGAGTTATTGAAACTAGAGCTAAACTAGAGCTAACTCGATGACGAGTAGTGCATGATGAGTGGTGTGTGATGAGTGGTGTATGACGAGTGGTGTATGATAAGTGGTGTATGATGAGTGGTGTGTGATAAGTGGTGTATGATGAGTGGTGTATGATGAGTGGTGTATGATG